TGAGAAGAACCACAATGATCACATTCAACCGTGCCAGATGTGTGCCATTGCCAAGATTGAGGAGAATCTTGCCAGTCCTTTGGCTTTGGAGAAAATCCACACAAAAACACAGACTGAAGGCGACCATCCAAGAAGATCTGAGGGAGAAAGAGTCTTGAAAGATCAAACTGAGAAAGCCATGCGCCTTCACATCCCACCAGAGCAATCACTGGAAAGTAAATGTCCTGATATTCCAATTGAAAAGAAAGCTCAAGTTGAAAGGGACCTGCCACAAGAAAAGGCTGTGACTCTTTCTCAACATGTGGAGAAAAGCAATATAAAACCTAAGCCCCAATCTCTGCCTGTGATTGCTGAGAAAAGCCCAGGTATGCTGAGAAGTTCCAGTGGCAACCAGGGTAGAGCTGAACCAATTAAAACCTCAGGGAAAAAGGAGAAGAATCTTCGTCATACCAACTGCCTGTCTTGGCAAGAGAGTGAAACGAAGATGAAAATTCAAGTGAGTAACAGGAAGTATTCCAGAGTAGAAAGCCTGAGAAGCACGGGGGAGATGTTCCACAGGAGAGGTACACAGGTAGCAACTGAACAAGGGAAAGGTAAGAGCAGAACATTGGATAACAGTGACATTCATACTCTTTCTGAAGACCTTGAACAAGGCCGGGGCATCCCAACACCAGAGAGAACCAAGTCCAATGCACGGGATCGAAAGATGTTAAAATTTATCAGTGGAATTTTCACCAAGAGCGTGGGCGCTGTGTCTGTCTCACCTGCAGGTGGTGGATTAGCTCAAAGGGAGTTTGCTGCTGGAGCCAAAGGTCCCTCCTCAAATCAAAGTAAGCATAAAATTAGCTCAACTTACTCTTTTTAAATCAGTTTAGTGATGTTTGTCCTGGGCTGCAAAGAAATTTATCTGCTTCTTTTGAAGGAAGAAAATGTCCCCAATCCAATTTTCTTGCCTCATGTACTGAAAATGCTGAATCCTAATGGGCCATTCTGGGTTCCCTTGCATACTTCAGCCAAATGACCATTCTACATCCATGGGTCTAGACACTCAGAGGCATCACAGATAAATCTGGTATTGTCCTCACTCACCATGTGCTAGTGAGAGCTCACTTCCTAGCTGGAGTCACAGGACAACAGTTAGGAAAGAGAACCCTGGTTGTAGTGACTGTGTCTATGTTACTTGCACAGCTAGTATTGTTTTCCTTCCTCCGCTCCAATCCTAGGGTGCTGACTGAGATCATCAACTAACTTGACGCTGCTAGAGATTAAACTAGGGCTTTACAAAGAAGTGATATTTAATCAGCCATCAGTGGGACTCACTGTCACCCTACCTGCTCTGTCTGGAATATGGCTCCAGTTTGAAACAATATGGTTGACTTTTAATGCCCCCAGGACTCTCAGAGAAGAGGAATAAATGCTGTTTTATCAGATTTGCCCACAAAAAATGCTTTTAATCTAGGAAATAGAGCTGTTTCTCTTATAAGACAAAAGATTAAGGATTAATTTGACAGCAGTGTTTAATTTTATGAAGGATGGAACAGAATGGGTAAAGACAGGCTGTATCCAACAATTGACAAGCTGCAAATAAGAAGGCATAGGTATAAAATCATGTGATTTAGGACAGGGAGGAAGAGAAATGTTTTTTTTACACAGAGTTACACGGCTGTGGAATGCACTGCTGGAGTCAGTGATTGAAACAGAAATCATGTTAAGATTCAAGAATGATTGAAGAATAAAAATAATAACAGGATATGGGAGCGGAGTGCAAACATAAGATAAGGATTACAGATTATGTGGAGTTTAAACACCATCATGGACTGGTTGGGGCAAAAGGCCAGTTGCCATGTTGTCATTTCCACATCATTGTATAAACCGTAGCCTTTTTTAGATAGGTTTGGAGTATGCCAATATTCCAGTCTGTCATGTCAGAGGCTGATAGTGCCCATTTACTGAGTTCTTGACCTCAGCCATGCTGTTGGGAATGGATGTCAAGAATAAGACACTTTGCGAGAGTAAGCTTGTGTGCATCTCCTCAAATAGAACTGAGTTGGGAACAGTTTAGAACAGGATATATTAAATGGAACAGTCGTGTAGCTCATTAAAAGAAGGATAAATATTATAATGGGTACTTCTAAAAAGAGAAAAACTGGACTAAATGGAAGAAGCACTTCTTGGCCAGATGGACTTTTCTTGTCCTGGATAGTAAGAATACAGACAGTGCTGTAGAGATTGAGTAAAGGAAGAACTTCCATTTATTTATTGTATTTTATGACCTTTGGACATCCCAAAGCACTTTACAGCCAATGAAGTATGTTTGAATTGTAGTCACTGTTGTAATGAAGAAAAATCAAACAGTTGTTTTGTAGTACAGAACTTGAGTATTCCTGAAAAATTTTGTCAAAGCTTTTCATATTGCGCTCATCAGGACAATTCAGAAGAAATAGGAATGTAGAAGGAAAATAATATTTATACTGTATGAGAGGAGTGTGCTGATTGGTTGGCAAAGGAACTCCGATTAGAAGGGTAACATACTGGTTAGATGATGACTGACAGGGAATTGCTAAGTTTTATTTAAATTTTAAATTTCAAACCAGGCAGATTGACTCTGATTGGTCAAGGCATTGCCCTGAGAAATGAACCAGAGAAATTCTTTCACCTATTTTGTTGCATTGAAATAGGTGACTGTATATAAATGCTCTCTCTGTCTGCAAAGAACGAATCCGTATGTATTAATTTACATAGCTTCCAGAACATGAACATGCACCACACTGCAAGCCTGACTGACTATCCTAAATTGATGGTCAGCCCAATTCTCAAATTCGCAAATGTCCAATCATGGAATCACATCAATGTTGGACACTGTTCTGAGTTTTGCAAGCATAGGCTGCTTGGGTACGGTCAATGCCTTGCTTACTGTGAATGCCAAAAGGATATACTGTTTAATATTATCCAGTCTTTAGGATGCTAGATACCTAGCATCACACAGGGCTTTGAAATTCATATACTATATTACTGATTGTGTGATGGATAGGACTGGCAATGAACTGCCAGTCATCATCTAACTGGTGCATTCTCCATGGCAACGCCTCTGTCAATCAGAGTTCACTTCCTAATCAATCTGCACTCTTGTTTCATATAGTATAAATGTTGTTTTCCTATTACATTGTTATTTCTTGTGAATTGTCCTGATGGGTGAAAATGGGTGTATATTTTCAGCAATATCGAAATGTAAGAAATGTGCCAGCCACAAACACCGGTGAGATAATGACCAAATAATTTGTTGCATTGTGTAATGTTCATTCAGGGATGAATATTAACTAGGTCGCCAGGGAAACTCTCCCCAGGACCTTTTATATCCAATTGAATGAGCACTTAGGGCTTTGTTAGACACCTCATCTGAAAGATGTCACTGCTGATGATGCAGAACTCCCTCAGTCCTGCCCTGGAGTGTCAGACTGGAATGGAAATTATGAGGTCAAGTCTGGAGTGGAACGCAAACCCAAAATTTATGACTGTACAGCAAGTATATAAAAGCAAAGACAAATACAACTGTAAAGAGGTTGTATCCTTGTTATATAAGGTGATGTTAAGACTGTCTCGTACTGTGTGCAGTTCTGGGCCCCTAAACACAGAAAGGACTTTACTGCCCTTCCTAGGGGACATGGGACAATAAAGATCATTCCAGGTATCAAGAGCCACTCATGTGGAAAGACTAAGGAAATTGGCCTTCTTTACTAGGGCAAAGAAGATTTTGAGGTGATGCAGTGGAAGTTTATAAGTTACTGAAAGAACTTAATAAAATTGATCAGCCAATTGTAGTGAAAGTTTGAAATACGGAGGGATATCTGTTAAACATGTGTTGCTTCAGAGAGAAGGAACTGTGGACACGGAGAATACTGGCATCTCTGTATTTCTCCAAGAGGGCAGGTAACTGACCATCGAGAGTGGATCAGTTGGCTGAATAGATTTTTCTGATTTCATTTATTTTCTAAGAGGATAAATACGAGAGCAAATAGAACAATTTCACTTCCTGTATTTGTGTGTAGTGGAGATTAATCTTGTGATCACTTATGGTGTCTGTTGAGTATAATTTGTGTAAAGGAGTGAATGAGGCAATGAGCTATCGGGCCTGGAATAAAGTTTAGCGAAACAGATGGATGAAAATTTCATGTTGTTGACCAGAAGGGAACCATGTGCATTCAGAATAGACCCAGTTCCTAGTGGGGCCACAGCACAAAACTGCCTCTAATTGGCCATCTCACAAGGCCACAGGACTGCTGGTGTGGGAACTGAAATATATATTGAAATATTCGTTTAAAGTATCACTGTTTCATGAAAGAGAAAATTTTTTTGGTAAACACACTTCCATTTCAATACGAAATATTATTTTCCATGTTTTGTCATTTTTTTCTGAAAATGACACATTTCTTCTAACTTCAAAGCTTACATTCCAGAGCATTCAACTACCTTTCTTGTCAGTTAATTTACAGTCCTTGACAGCAGTTATCTCTGATCATCTGCATTAAATATTCCATGTACCAGCCACAATCCATTCACTACCAGTTCACCTGGAATGTTCCATCTTTAGAAATCAAATCTATTCGCTTTAAGTTGTACATCAATTTCCCCTCATCCTTCCAACGAGTTTTCTGTTGTTTTAAAACAAAATTGAATCAGCCAGGGCATTCTCGACCAAAACACCCTGCCCCTGCTGCCATCAAGAGTTGAATAACAGGTCCTAGCTGCATGCTAGCCTTTTGACAGAAAAGAAAATCTTCCATTTATATAATACTTTTCTTCATCTTGATCTCAACTGAGAAGTGCACACTCCAGTGTTGAAATTAGCCATACAGAGCAGGAAGGCTCTGGGTCTGTTCCCTGGGCCCCAGGCATGATGAGTTAACTGGTCTTAGCATGAATGGCACCACAATTGGTCTCATTGCCCTTGAGGTGAAGAGAAGAAAAATCATGCAGAGTTTCCACTCCTTGAGTTTGTGGAAGTGAATAGGTTTTGTATCTGGATTGTAGCCTTGATCTCGGCAATGATGCCCTTCACAGGACTAAAACATTCCAGTGCTATATAAATTGTCACAGGACTAAAACATTCCAGCGCTATATAAATTGTCACAGGACTAAAACATTC